GCCAGACCACGTCTCGCGTAACAGGCTTCGCGATATCTCACGAAACACTGTTACGCTGCGACGCGCCTGGCATACATCTACCTAGGCCTGCGGCGCTGACACCCGAGTCGGGTAGTGCAAAAATGTACACAAAGATACGGGCCTCCGGCCAGTCAACGGCCCGTCACTTTGACTAAGCATGCAGGGTTGTACATTTTTTCGCTAATTTTCGTCAAAAACACCCTCTAGCGCCTCAACGGTTTGAGCTAGAGCAAAACGGAGAAAATTATCGTGATGACAGACAGACAGACAGACGCGAAACTTTTTGATCATCACTGGAGTAATAGGCTTCGCTATCGCTCAGCCAATTAATTTCCTGCTTGTTGGTTGTTCTTCCTTTCATATCCAAAGTTGGAAAGCCAACGGCTAGCTGCAGTCTCTGAGGTCTTCAAGTCCTCACCCCTAAACTCTGTCAATATTGCAGCTGCAATATGAAACTAGGTAGATGTACGCCAGACCACGTCTCGCGTAACAGGCTGCGCGATATCTCACGAAACACTGTTACGCTGCGACGCGCCTGGCAGACATCTACCTAGGCCTGGGGCGCTGACACCCGAGTCGGGCAAAATGCAGAATCGTAGATGGGCCTTCGGCTCCAAAGAACACAAATTTTACCCCCAGGATTTTATTTTGACGAGTTTCCCCATCAGAGACCATCAAATATCTGAGAAACGATATTAAAATGATTTGGGGCGATTTGGGGTCATTTTCGTGTGGAAATCGCCCTCTGGCGACTAAACGGTTAGAGATAGAGCCAAACGGACAAAATTTTAACCCAGAGGATTCTACTTTGACGAGTTACGTGTTAGAGAGATGTAAAAAAAAAATATTTTTCAAAAGTAATATTTAGGGTTTTTCGTTTTTGATTTTGTTGACAGGTCAATTTTTAAGCTAGAGGGCTCAGAATCAATACAGTTCTTGCTTTTTATGATACAAAGTTAAAACTAGCTATATGTACGCCAGACCACGTCTCGCGTAACAGGCTTCGCGATATATCACGAAACACTGTTACGCTGCGACGCGCCTGGCGCACATATAGCTAGGCCTGCGGCGCTGACACCCCAGACGAGTTAAATTTTACGATTTAATTGCGTGGTCTACATCTCTGAATCCGGGGGGATACTGCATTTTTGTGTCAAGCAATGCCACTTGGCAGGGGGGTACTTATGGACTAAAGAAAGGATTTGACCCGAAGAGGCATCGAAAATTTCCCTTAGGGAAGATTTTATAAGCCATCAAAATTACCATTGCGCCTTACGGGAGGTCCGGGTAGGCAACCCGCCACACAGTCCCCGCGTTTTTGCCGCTTTTTGCTATTTCTCTGCCGTTTTGACCAACTTCCAAACCGAATTTTTGAGTTCCGTCTTTTGCATTGTGTTCCTTACGAGTACGCGGTCATTTTGAGCTATAGAACACCTCAGAATGTTACTCGCAACGCCCGGGAAAAAGGGTGAAAGGTGAAAGTTAGGTCTCGGAGTGTACAACTTGTTCAAGCGACCTAACCACCCTGTTCACCGATGAAATTTCACGTGTCGACTATTGTTTCCCGTAGTAAAAAGCATGAGGAACACGCTCAAACAAAAAAAAGGCAACTTTTTTCGTGGGAAATGCCTTAAAATGGCGATTACTTGTTAGTGCGCGCGGGCCGGCCCTGCCTGCCTGCGGGACGGGCCAGGCTGTCAGCCGTGGTGGCCGCGGTCTGCGTAAGACACGCGCATTTTGTCAAAGGACCGCCAAAATTTGCACAGGAGTTCTTAAAGATATAAGAAACAAATTTTGTCCGAAGCCTTTTGGAAAATTTCGAACCGTTCAAACTGTACTGTTTAATTCGTACAACCTGAACAGAATGGGATAAATAGCGGTGGCTCTGACCCTTATTAAGCCAATACGTGGCGCGCAGCAACTTTGCAACTCCATTCGGTGATGCTAGACACAAAGCAAATGTTATCTAGGTAATTTGAACACCCTGCTTGAACACTTTTTTGAACACGTTTGTACATTGTACGTGTTGGAACACTAAAAAAACAACTTAATGTAGAGAAACCTCATTTCTGACTTCAGATTTGTCATCAGCAGGTTCGTTTCATACGGAAATAAAGACGTGTCTGACACGTGTCTTTGAAAATACTACATTTTGTTCAACTTAGTGTTCCATCCAGCGTTCGGAACAGGGTTGTCCACGCTACGCCACTGTCCGTGCAAGGCCTCCAGGGGTTGAGGTGTCAGAAGTGTACAGATAAAAAAAACATGTTTACGGCGGTTAAACTCACTACAAAATGTACAAACGTGTTCAAAAAAGTGTTCAAGGGTGTTCAAATTACCTCGAAACCTTCGAAATTTTCAAAAAGGCTTCGGACAAAATTTGTTTCTTATATCTTTAAGAACTCCTGTGCAAATTTTGGCGCTCCTTTGACAAAAT